AATCCTCCGACCACTGACCACTGACCAGAGACCCCATCATACGCCCTGTTGCCAGGCGCTTTCATTTCCGCCTCATGGACGCCAAACATGCCACTCTCTTTCGGACTGTCTGTCCGTCCGTTCGTCCGTTCGTCCGTCCGTCCGTCCGTCCGTCTATTTGACCCACCGTCCGCCAGACGTTCTCCACCGACCGTTGTGCTTGAGAGGCTAGGACTAGGACCTCACTAGTTGGGGTTTCCATGTCAGTGTCCTGTTCAATTTTTGTTCGCCCGGCTACGGCTCCGGTTTGACCGAAACCAAAACACTGCGCAGTTGCCGCCCGAGGCGACTGCTCTGTGGACTGAATTTTGATATTAATAGCCTTGGACAGCTTTATAAACGCCTTTCGGGGTTAACATGCTCAAGTGGTATTCATATTTTCCACTGACCGACCTGTCACTATTGTGTGTGTCAGCCCGACCCCAGCAAAATGGTAAAATAAAACGCAACCGAGGTGGATTGCATTGGATTGGATTGGATAGGGCGAGAATATGTAATGGGATATATATTGGTGACTTTCTGCGTATAACCTAAGGCACTTATTTCATGAATTTGTGAGCTTACTTCCTACAGTTTCTATAGGTTTATTTCAAACTCGAATTAATTTCATTACCTTTTATCCAAGTTCGTTGTCCTAGGCCAACTTAAATTATGCAATTATGGGCTAGAAAAAAAAATATCATTTGATTTTATTATTAAATTTTTTTTGTTTTTACGGAGATTCAAGAATTTACAATTCAAACATTAAAATAATTGGCATACTTTATAACTTTATACTTTATAACTTTATACTTTATAACTTTATATTTTATAACTTTATACTTTATACTTTATACTTTATAACTTTATACTTTATACTTTATACTTTATACTTTATACTTTATACTTTATACTTTATACTTTATACTTTATACTTTATACTTTATACTTTATAACTTTATTTATATATTCTTGTGTTTTTGAGGATACCAAACTTTACTTTATTTTGATGCATCTTATCTTACTTATTGATGGATTGTCCCACAAATCTCCTTGATAACCTGAATGGTTGCTGAATACTGGTTGTTGTTTTAGGGGCTTCACGATAAAGATCAACTTTTGAAATTAGCCACAACATATGTAACTTCTCAGGATTTCCATGGCAACTTTTCGCTAAGGGCTTCAGGCTGGAGTTTCCTTGACGAACTGCGCAGTTTTCTTCGGTTTTTCCACCCTCCTTTGATCGAGTTGAAAGCTGGATTACAGGGGTAAATCCAATGCGATGGGATTCTGTTTTGGAGGAGGGTTGCTTTGGCGAGAAAGACAATCGCAGTTGTCCTTATTGCGTCGCAGTGGCAACTTCGAATAGCCATTTTCCCGAGGGGAGTTTCATTGGGTTGGAAAAACTGCAAGTTCTGCCGACGGTACAGTCATCCCTGGCACAGTGCGTCCGTGTTCGCTTCCTTACTTCCTGCCTTGCCACCCCGCCCATTCACTCAGCCACTTCCTTGCGCGTCCTGCGCAGCATAAATTACGCAATTCACTTTGGCGTCCTTTTATCATACCCATTGTTCGTTTAGTAAAAAGGGGTATGCTTAAAATACAAATACATTTTTGTAAAATTCTGCAGAAATTCTAGATAAATCGATATGGCCGAATCCACCATCGTTTCTATATGTACATATATTCTAAAATACCAACCATGTACAGAAATTAGTTACAATCTACGAAAAAATATTTTTTTATGAATGCTAAAAAAATGAACAAAAAGGAAACTTAATTATAATTTTACACAAATATATAACCTATTTAAAATATATATATTTTTTTGTATATTCAGAAAATTATGCAACCAGCTTAAGAGGTATTTTTGGTCGAAGTTACTTTGCAAATTCAGCAACTCCTTTTTTGTTGCTTTTCCTTGCCTCTGTTTGTTTGCAGCGACGCAGTTTACGTTGTTGCTTATGATTTATGTGCCGCGCGTAGCGATGACACACACACACACACACACACACGCACGGCGAAAGGACACTGCTGCAGTTGGGAAAACACTTCCCCCTTCTCCCTTCTTCCTACCCCCTACCCTCCTTCCTTTACCAACTCCTCTAGAATTTTCAAGAATTACACGCAAATTGCACGCAACACGCGAATCGGGCAAAGTGGTCGTGGCGTATGGAAATGACGCGGGAATGCCACTCATGCGTTCCGTTTCGTGCGCCTGCATGTGCGATAGTTCTGTCACAGGCCCCGTATCCGGAAACCGGAGAGTCCGGACTGCGGAGACCGGACTGCGGAGTGCGGAGACCGAAATGTGAAGTCCACAGTCCGGGGTCCAACTCCCCAGAACGAACGCCAAATCCGTGGCATTAAGTCATGCGTCATCCTTGGCAGGGACATGCGTGTAAGCCGGTTATCGCCCGAAAAGCCTGCCAACAGCAGGACACTTTAAAAATATCTTTATGCATACCATAAATACGTTCTTAAATGCTAATCCTTAAATGTTGGCCCCCAAGGACCACCGAAATGCGTCACAAGTCCCACATATATATATATGACTCAGCCTAGAATGCTAGAAAACCTTAGGTAATGTTGTGGTTGTGGTCAAGTTTGCAGGAAATTTTAAATAGTTTTGTTCACTAGGAGAAATATGTCTTCGTTTTAAGGTAAAATATGTTTAATACTCTATGCCCCCCAAAAAAAAAACCTTGAATGAATTCAGAGTTTAATTAAGAAAATTTGCTTTTCTTGTAATTGAATTTCCAAAACTATAAAATACATCGTCAATAAATGTTGTAGCCTGCTTTCCTTAATGGCAACATTTACCCATTATCTTTGTCATGAGAATTAACCGACTTGTAAATCGAAATTCTATTCAAACCTGTTAGCTGATTGGTAGTCATTTGTTAGAGCCCCATTCGCGTTAAAATGCTTTGCTTGTTTTCTTGATTGACGGAAATTGGGAAAAACTCGTTAGATATCCATGAGAAAAAAAAAACCCATAAATGGTTTTACATGATGGCATTGACTTGTTCTCGATTAGTTCAGCGAGAATATGTAAATCAGACCTTATGATACAGATGATGATAAAAGCTCCACGTTCATTTTAGGATTTAATAGATCAAATTTATATCGTTTTTTTTTTTTATTTTCAAAATACGTTAAAGCTGACATCAGCATCAGCTGGCTGAAATTTGTAATATTTTATTTTTTTGGCTCTTTGTTTGGCATTGGCATTGTTTTGACAACTTTATGGGGTTGGTGGCGAAAGCATTTAATAAACGGCACCGAGCGCTGCCGCAACTCACTTTTTAATCACTTTTCATGAGCTTTTAATTACACACTTCTTGTTTGGGTTGCGTCGGAATGAAATTTATGAAAAACCAAACGCATAAAATGCTTAACAAGCTCCTGCTGCCCAACCGCAGGACATATACACAAACAGGCAAAAAAAAAAGTTGGATAAATATATGTGCATATGTGTGTGCAAGAATAAAATAAAAATATCCCCACTCATTTCCGTTATAATAATGTGTGAAAGGATATTAATTATGAAACAAGCGAACGGCAGGAAGGCCGGGCAATAAAAGCAGCAAGCGACAGGAACACCATGCGTGACCAACAATAACAACTACAGGAACATCACAGGCGACAGCAACAATATATGCGACTCCGGTATATTGTATTTTATGGGAGTTGGTCGGGGTACACTAAAAGAAAAATAACAGAAACTAGTAATTACTACAAACTTTGTAACAATAAACTTCGATGTTCAAATCGCTTTTGTTGCAATTAGGAATTACGATTGCTTATTTTTTTTTTAAGACAAAATTATATTTTTGAAGATTTTAAATCAATATCCATGACGTTATTTATTAAAACGGCTTAAAAAAATTAAAAATGTACAATTTGACCATTGCAAAACCAATTTTTTTCTTATTTTATGATTAGATTCAATTTTGTTGCATTATTTGCTTATTTATTTATTGCTTAAGGATCTAGTTCAAACACAATTATTTTGGTATAAATAGATTATTTAAATAGTAAAATCAACTTAATATAAGCCTAGTTTCTCTCTGTGGAAAATGGGCGTTGTATTTGGGTGAAACGAGGTGAGTTGTGCCGAATTGTGTTGAGTTGGGAGCGGAGCGGAAACGGGAGCAACATGTGCAACATGTCGAACGGAAGTGTCGGCCATATTCCACACACATGCACACACGCACAACCATCTAAATAGGCCCACGTCGCACACACACAAATTATGTGTCCTGGCCAAGTAGATTTTTATGTAATGTCGGTCGGTTATTGCTTTCATACATTTATTTTATTTCATTTACCCAAACCGCCTAGAGCAACACCCACATAGGCAGGCGAATTTTCGATTTTCAAAAACTCCTTGTTCCGTATACTCTGCTCTGTTTGGATAAAGTTTAAAATCTTTTAAAAAACGACACAACAAATTTGTCAATGGCTTCTGGCAGAAAATTTTTAATTACCATAAATTTTATAGGAAGCAAATAACCTTTTATAATTTGTTTTTTTAATGGAAATTTATAGATTAATATTTTCGATAATGAGTACAAACAATAAATGTACAAATAATTTTTCTCTTACTTCCCATTTATATTGCTTAGTTATAAAAAATATATATTTAACAGAAAAATGTATCTGTAACGGGAATAACCTTTTTTGGAATACTTGAAGTAAACGAATAAAATCTCTTATTTTTTAGAAAACCACCCAACGTTTTAGTTAAGTTGTGCACTGTAAGTGAAGAGCGCATTAATTTTTGTGAAACGAGAAGGACATCTCTTTGTCGCCGCTTCACTTATTGAGTTGAACAATTTGTGCCCTGCACTTCATGTCCTGTCATACGACTCAGTCAACTGGCCGGTGGGCCATTCAGCCAGACATTCAGCCAGTCTGCCGGTGACAGGACCCTCTGCGGCGGCAACTGTCGTCCATCAGAGCTGTGCGTCAGTTGATCACGTTGCCGCTCCACGTGACGATGACAGGGAATGCCGGAATGCCAGAATACCGGAATACCAGAGTGCCCTGCTCCACCATCCGCCCACGGGCATGTTCTGCGGCTCCTGCGTGTAATTGCCGTTGTAATGTCGCCCGACGCGAATATAATTGCTAAAATGTTGCATAAACCGACAGACGTGCCAATGGCCAATGGCCAATGCCCAATGCCCAGGACTCTGACTCTGACACTGACACTCACTCCTCCTCAGTCCAACTCCGGAGTGAGAGTCCAGGTCGCGGCGACGACACTTTTCCATTTGAATTTAATTTTAATTTACGCCCAAAGGCCGGCAAGCTCTGCTCGTGATGCCCATTGCCATTTTCCGGAAATTGGCAACGGCAATGGCCAGAACATTCCGCATTCCGGACATGGCTTCTACCTTCTGGCCTGGGACTTCAATGCACACAGAGAAAAATATATACATATAATATATAAAAATTATCTATCAACTGTTTAAGTAAATTAGAAATCTTTAAAAATGTGTTTACACTTTTTATCTAGTTTTCAATTTTGTGATTTCTTTGTTCGTATTTTAAGCGCAATTAAACGTAGTCAATTATGGCTTACATAATTTTTATTTGTATTATCATTTAATACAATAATTAAACATTAATAATTTAAGAAATAATACATTTGTTTTATAAACTTGGTATCTTATATGCTATTTAATGTTTATAAGTTGTTGATGTGACGTGCTTTTTAATGATTAAAAGTTATTTTTTTTTGGCATCGAATTTTTGTGTTTGAAGTAAGCCAATTCAAATCACTTGTGTTTTTTTGGTAAAATTATTTCCCGTGTAAAAATGAACAGGCAATGCGGTTCTGGCCACGATTCTGACCAAATTTGAGAGGGCTGTTCGCACCGTTGAGTTAATGAGAAGAGACAGAGGTCGAGGGGAAAAAAGGGAGAGAATAAAGGCGAGATGTGGAGCAAAAGGGAGAAGCCATCGTACATTTTATGTGCAACCGGCCGAAATTTTTAAAAGAACAGTTGGTCTAATTGAAGCGTCCAAAATTAGTATATACATAGAAGTAAGAAAACTCCCAGATTTAAATAAAAACAATTAAGCTATGTCAATCATATTCAATCAGCGACTCTGTATTCAATAAAACCTGCAGTGAGAACAAGAAACCCAGTATATAAGCAGCAACATATATAATGATTAATTTACACAAGTTATTTTAGGGTGAACCCAAAAATAACCAAGCAACGGTATAAAACGCTTTAAAATCATATCAAAATGAACCATATCTTAGCTAATAAAATTTTTCCATATTAATTAGTAGCCTAAATTCGGTCTCTACTCAGACCCTCTGAGTTTTCCATCCTCCGTCAATAAATGTGGGTTTTTTTTATGGGCCCGCTTGAGTCATCGCCATAGTGTCTGGGACTATGAGTAACTTTCCGCTGGCAAAAGTCGTGATTCCAAGGGCCGACTCATTAAATGCAGAGGGAATTAACAGGGGAACACAAAAAATAATAAAGAAATAAAGATAATGCATGAGAAAGATGACGCCGAGGGCAGAACTGGAAACCGACCGATTTGATGAAAACAATTTTCCAAATTTGGCAAAACTATTAACCACGCTACGTTAATTTCATTAGCAAGTCTGTCTAACTTGTTTCGGTGACCGTGTTTCATCCACACATACACACAGGCTATATATATATATGTATATATATATAAATCGCAGCCATTAAATGCGCTAATTAGTTGGTCAATTAGCGTATGCTTACCGGATTGTTTTTGGCTCTTTGTTTGTTGGCCCAAAGAGGACGGCTTTTGGGTGGCAGAGGGTGTGGTGTGATGTGGTAGGACCACAATCGGAGTCACACCATCACGGCTTGGACGTCAGCGTTTCGATCGCCCTACTGTCGCCACATTAATAAATCAGTTTAAATTAATTCAGTTGACAGCTTTTAGTCAATATTGTTGATAAATTGTTTTCTTTTAATTTCGGTTATTTGGTTATTTGGTTGTCGGTTTTTGGAAACCTGCGGCTGTTGCCAAGGGGGGAGAGCTTTGACTGGTCATTAACAGCATTTCAGCTTTATAAATTAGCTCATTTTCGGACCATAACTGTGGGGATACCACTGCAGGCTTGGTTCTTAATGGAAAATAAATCGAATTTTCTCTAATGTTGCAGATTAACAAAACATTAACTGTAAAACAAATGTTTAAGCAGGGGAATTTCATTTATATTTATTGATTTTTTTTTTGGTTTGCTTTGTAAATTGAGTAACAACTTTTGAAGAAATGAAGTCCCTACTATCAAAAGAAGAACAGAAATCTGGCGCAATAAAACTAAATATCCTCGCTGTTTCTGGTCTCGGTAAGGATGTCGCTCCAGGACATGCTGAATGCATCCTGATCATGCATGTTCCCATTCTGGGCCCTTTCCGATTGGGCATTCTCGAACTCGGCCAGTTTTTCCAGACGGAGTTCCATCCGGCGCTCCAGTTCCTCCGTACTACTTGGCTTCCGTCTGATGGGAGTGTCCCTGCCGTAAAAGGACGATTCGCTGGCCGGCCAACGGGGCGTATTGTTTTGACTGGCTGGCGGATCAATGTCACTGAGATCACTGACGCTAGCTGAATAGTGATCGGAAGTCAATTCGAATTCACTGGTTGATCGTGAAGTAAAACGAGCATCACCAGCACCACTTAGAGGTGGGGTTACCCTGTCCTCACTTAATTTTATCATGAGACAGCGACCACGGCACTTGAGGTTTTCCTGTTGGAGCAGACGAATTAGGTCTTCGCGGGAATCCATTTCCACATAGGCAAATCCTTTGGGTCGTTTTCCCTTCTTCGGAATAGTTAAAGAACGAATCGAAAATGTGTTAAGAACTTTGTTTAACTCGCGTTCGGTACACTCCATCGGCAAATTGCTGACCAATGCCACATATGGTGGACTAGTTGGCACCTGCTCTTCGAAATCGGGAATACTTATCTTCTTCGGCAGATCAAATTTGGGTTTCTCGGTTCCAACCCTGAAGTATAAATCGCTGTCATCCACCTCAGAGGTTTGCACCTGTGTCACGTGCAACATGGCTTCCAAACTGCGACCAGATTCACCTCCGGAAATTGAGGATACGGACGAGGAGCCAACCGGAGGTAACTTGAAACTACGCGATGACTTGGACATCTTTACAAAGTCATCAGCCAAAAGCAAAAAATAATATATTTTTGAGGTGACGCTTTCGTGTCTGCGTTTGTTTATTTAACTTGTAAACTGTGTGAGTTTACTGAATTATAAAGCAATGACGTTTTTTTTATTTACTCCAGCAATAGGCATAGAATCTACGAAAATAATAAACACAAATCCACTTGAAAATTATACTAATTTGTATTGTAAATCCAAATCTAGATTTTTCTGGTACTTAGTACTTTTAGTAAACATATGGTTAGCTTTAGCTTAAGTCCAAAATAGAAAAATTAGCAACTTATTTGTAAGATTTTAAGAACAAAACAGAAAAACTTGTTTAATCAAATTATTTATAAGTTAAAAATATATGATAGTAATATATAAATCCTACATGTTATAAACACTAATTAAAATTGTTGTTTATTAGACTTTATGGTTTTTAGCTTAGATCATGGCCCTAAAACTGCAAATTTCCTATATTTCTTTGAATTTAAAGTGCTTAAAAAAGACTTTATATAATTTATTTCTACCTTGTTCCATTTATTTCATTTATTTATTTCATAAAATACATGACTATAAATAAAATCCTAAAAATATATTGATTTTTGTCAGGAAAGCAGCGTTTAATCTATGAACCCTTGTTAAGTTCACGATCTGTATCTTTTGGGTATTGTCGATTCATTATTTAATATTTCCAGGCCGTGATCTCCTTCAAGCACACACTTTTCCAGTTAAGCACCTGCCCCAGAGCCTCAGATATATATCGACCATCTACTAGGCAAATGCCAAGGTTCGCGGATCCCAACTGACAACTCTCGGAATTGGTTGGAAAATATCAAAAGTTCAGCAAACAAATGGCATCGAGTTGAGTTCGAGTTTGAGTTTGAGTTTGGCTAATGCACGGATTGTGTCGTTTTTCTGTTTGCTGTTTGTTAGTTTGGTCGGCTTGTTGGCTTGTTGGGTTGGGCCGAAACCAGAGGATGGAAGGAGGTTTCCACATTAGGCAACTGGCAAACTGGCTACACCCATATTCCGTGGAAAATTGGGTGCGTTGGCCAAACACAAACTAAGGTAAACTGATAAAAATCATGGCCTGCAGCATGAGTGCCACTACGAGTGGAGTTTGGGGCCAAGTAACCGATTGCGAGTGGCCCAAACCACACACACTCGTAGTACGTGTCTGGGACCGGGCATTTGGAACAGACAGGCTAAAATATTAGGCCAATTATATTTCAAAAATTTACATGACGATGATGTCGACGATGGCCGGGTCATCCACAGCCCAAACCACATTCAAAGTCCCACTGAAAATAATTATCGTATCCTAAAAACACGAGACCATCATACCCTTGGCATTATGATCTTAATTATGTTAAAAGATTATTTATATAATTAACTCAACTGATGATAAATATTTGTTGAGATTAGGCATTATAAACTTAGTTTTTTTTACAAATGTTTATATATTATTTATTAAATGTACCCAAGATAAATATTTCTTAACCATGTATATAACGCATATATTTTTTTGGTCACAGAATAACACTTTTTTAAAAATCTCAGTAATGTTTTCTTTTTTTTGGCTTAGTTGGGCGATTCCAATATATTTTATCTTATTTAAGGTCTGAATCCATGTATTAAAACCCGTATATTTTAAAGGCCCAATGGTCTTACATACAACAATTACAAGAATTTATAACACATTATAAAAATATTTTTGATTGAGCCCCAAAAATTCGCTTATTTTCTTATTATTATTTTCTTTATGCAACTTTTAAGTAAATTCAATGAAATTTCTTTAAGTTATACTTTTAATTTTAAATTTACCTTTATTGCCAGTGCAAGTACAGTGAGGAAGCGTCAAGTGGCCTCCGCCTCCACGTTTTTTGAACAGTATCTTGATGCTCTCACCATGGAACGTGCATGGGCATAAGTCTGGTGTCTGGAGAGCTACTCGTATCTGGGCACTAGGATCGCCTTTGGCTACACGGAATTTTCTTTTCTTTTCGCTTAATTTCGTTGGAAAACGCTGAATGAAATGTATGGTGTGTGTGTGTGTGTGTGTGTGTGTGTGTGTGTGACAGGGAGTGGAGGGGACGGAGGGGGGCAAAAGGTGCAGCGAAGGTAATTAATTTCGAGGATTAGGCATCAGATTTTGGCGATAACAACGTGTCCCCATAATTCTCATATCGAGGGGCCAGACGAACACGTTCACAAGCCCTATCCTCAGGCCCATCTTTTTGTACAATGTCTTCTTTGTGGGTCACCAAAGGGCAATACATTGAAATTAATAATTGGATAGTGGGAATAAGTTCAACTAGGTATAAGCAACTTACTTTCGAGCTGCATACAAATTAAGGCACTTCGAAATATGACCAAGACTTGCATACTTGACTTGAATATATTGTTTATTGGTCATTAATTGTTCAAAACTATCCTTCCCTGTAAACAGTGTAGATAATAAACTTCTCTGGATAGCAAATAATAGTTTTTAAATCATTTAATTTAAATTTGTATGCTAAAACATACATAGTTAAGTGGTTATCTAACAGCCACCATTAATACTCCCAAATTAATTGAATTGCCTAATTTACACCAAACACAAATCAAAACAAAAAATTTAATTTGTTGATTGTTTTTAGTAATTGAACCCATTCAAATAAACGGAAAATATTAAACAAACAAGCCACTAATTATAATACCTAATCAGCGTTTTCTTTCACCTCTATTTTATTTGTTTATGTTGAGGGACACAAACTACCCCAGAGCCCCAAAACCAAAGCAACCGATCCAAAGCCAAAATTCAAAAACCAATGCAAAGCACACACACACACACACCAACGTGCACACCCGAAAAGTGTTCCACATGACAGCGTGAATAATTTGTCACCAATTGACGGAAATCCAAAGAAGGGGCGGTTCCAAAATGAAAACCGTCATCAGGTAAATGCAATTAGCCACGACTCGGGTTTGATTGATGTATTTCGAATGAGCTGCGCCAGGAAAATTAATTAGCTTTAAATAATGTAGGTAGCCCGAAATCTGGAGAGCTGGTGCGGCTGCCACACCCCAAAAACTCTATTCCGAGCTTCGAATAAGCTTGAGCACCTTATTAATTAATCAATTGGCTTCAGCAAATTGTCTCGAGTGGAGCAATTATCATGATTTGCTTAACTGCAGCTTATGGTCAACTGGAAAATGTTCCTTAGGCGACTCAACAATGTGGATAACTGTTTATGCTTCTCTTCTAAAATCCGGAGTGCTGGTAATTAGTATTGATTTTACTTCTTGCGGCCACAATCAAGTGTAATTACCATAAGTATATAATTTGTTTCGATCCCCAAAATGTTATGTGGTAATACAAACATACATAAGTGTGGATACAATCTTTATCATTATAAATTTGTTCCTTGATAGAGAAATATTAAATTTGTTGAAGTAGAAATAAATCAATTTTATGAATTTATCATTGGTAATATATTTCCTAAGATAAACACTGTTTTTGAAAAATTTGCAATTGTAGGCAACATAATCGATTTGGACAATAATAACCTACCCATTGAATTAATATTGATTTTATTTCTTGCGGCTCTAATCAAGTGTAATTATCATATGAATATTATTTGTTTCGATCACCAAAATGTTATGTGGTAATAAAATTGAGGATACAATCTTTATCTTTTTAAATTTATTCCTTAATAGTGAAATATAAAATTTGTTGAAGAAATTTTATGAATTTATCATTGGTAATTTATTTGCTTAGATAAACACTCTTTTTGAAAAATTGGAAAGTGTAGGCAATTTAATCGATTTGACAGTTCTAAGCTAACCATTGAATTTCTTCAAATTCTGTAAGTCTTCCACCCCTGTTTCATAATCTTAATGGCCATCTTATTTGCGCCTGAATCATCGCATAGATGACTTCTCCCGGCATCAAAAAACTGGGGAATCTAAAGCCGCCCCATCGAATTTCGCCAAAATTGACAAATGCACGGTTGGAACAGTCTCGAAATGTGGAAATCTATCAATCGGAGGGTTTTTTTCACGCCGGATCCGGTCCGCAGCGAACCGGGCACCGGGAAATAATGTGACTTTAGCCACGGTTATCAATAACCAGGCATCGATATTTTATGAAAATTGATACGCCACACACACAGCGGGGGAGGAAAATAAAAATAAATAATAATGGCCATTATTACAGTTTATTCCATGCCGAATAGTTTCGCCCACTCGTCTGTTTGGATAGCGAGTCCTTCGAGTCCTTCGAGTCCTTCGAGTCCTTCGAGTCCTTTCGCCAATGCCACTCATAAGCGAACTAATCCGTCAAAATTTATTGCCACCACCGAGGGGAGCCACTGTCGAGCCAATTGATAACGTGCGTGTGAAATTTATCAAATAAATTGAGGCCATAAATGTCAAAGCTGCGCATGATTCATAGACAGACAATCCGAAAGTCGGAGCTGAGTCCTTATTAGCCAGCTTCCGTTGGCCAAGAAACCAGGGAGCCAAGGAGTGAAGGAGTTTCGGCTCCAGTCAGAAGTCAATCCCACATTGGATTAGCTGACAAATTTCGGTAATTTCCAAGTGGGTCATTTATTCTGACTCGGGCGAATTTATTAAACTCCCATCAAATGGTAATGCGCAACTTATGATTGGCATTCTTGTTTATTCATTATGTTGTCTACACTCAAAGAAAAAAACTGAAGGATTGGTTATAAATTGGTGTTTTAAAACTAATAAAATATATGTATTCATTTAAAACTAAATAATAATTCGATTCATTACCGAAGAGTCTAAAAAATTAGTTTAAGGCCCTATTTTTAAACCACATCAATTTTATTTTGATACTTTGGTGGTATGAAATTAATGCTCATATTATTGACAATTTTTCATGCCCAACAGTTTAGTTTCTATGACAATTTTGTTTGGGTGTAACCATTTTTTGGGTCTTCAGTTCCTTGCTACTTAAAATTCCAATTACTCGCAAATTAAATTAATTTGAATACCCAGTTGCTAAAAATATTTGTATTATCCGCTTGTGTGTTGCGCCCAGTCAGAAGTCAATCATTAAATTACAGGCTTACAAAT